CTCAATGATTCTATGAAAGGTAGGCAAAAAATGTGTCTGCCTGGACACGTTCCTGTGCAACCTGCTCTGGGTGGCCCTGCTCTGGCAGGGGGTTGGACTAGATGATCTCCAGAGGTCCCTCCCAACCCCATGTCATTCTGTGATTCATTGAGCCATCTCTCTGAGCCAATGCTTTTGCTCTTGGGTGTGTGGTTCTGTCAACCCTCCGAGGATAGTTCTCCGGGTTGTTTCACTGAGAACAGCACGACAGATTGGTCTGTGAGACAGCAATCTGAGAAACTATCCAGGCTTTTATCTGGAATAACATAATGATGATAATAAAAAAATTGCAATATGAGTTTTATAGTTTAAGTTTGTTCTCTCTCTGAAATGGTAGCTGCTGATGGGAGCGGGATGGTACCAGTGCCTGCAAGACAACAGCCAGGAAACAACTCTAGGGTGCGCTCTCTACCGGGTATTTCTTATTTTATTTTTTTAACAACAGTCTTTGCTTTTTAGGTTTTGAAAACCAAAATTCATTTCACTCACACTTTGAAACTAATGGAAGGAATAAAGCTTGTTTATTTGTAAATAGTGTGCTATTTGTAGAGAGAGCATTTTCACACCTTCAGAGGGCTGAGTATGTGCACAAGTGTCCAGCAATCACGAAGGGTAACACCTATTTGCAACCATTCTTTAGGTGCAATAAAAAAAGTTTATGAAAACTTTCTCATTCCTCAGACTTCTATAGGTTTAACTATGAGATATTAACTATTTTTTTACCAAATGTAAACTTTTAATATAAAGGTGCTGAGAAACACATATGCATTTATTCCTTATGGAATTTTATGCATTTGGATGATGCATCCACCTCACAGAGGGATTTCAGCACCGTCTATTACCTGACCCAAGTAACCTATTTATGGCTTCATTATGTTTATTATGAATATCCTTACGGATATATTACAAGAGGTTTTGGGAGGTGATTCTGTGCAATGTGGATTAAAGAAAAAAGCCCTAATTCAGCAATGTGTGGTCCCCGAGGATTTAATAGGCTCCAACTATGTAAGACATCTCTATATATAGAAGGTTCAAAACAAGTTCCTCTGAGACTTGGCTTACGTTGAAGTGCAGGGTCTAAGGGTGCAGTGAAACCTGGAAGTAGCATGGAAAAGGTCGTGTAAGAAAAACATGGGTGAAAAAGGTAATTTCTAGTTGAGTCAGCTTCTGGCAGGGTAACCGAACGATCAGCTGCCGTTCCTGTCCCTACCCTAAAACCCTTTTTTGGTGAGGAGATGAGAACATCACAATTAAAATACAAGATTACAATGTTGATTCAAGCTCTTCGGGTTACACTTAAAGCCCGTATGGTTTCATCTTTTGTCAGTGAGGTTGACGGTTGGACAAGATGATCTTTAAGGTCCCTTCCAACCTAGAAGATTCTGTGATTCTGTGATTCTGTGATCCTAATAATTAATGGGTTATTCAAAAAATCCTCCTGTAACACACGGGCATCAGTTTGCTTTAGCTTTCACCTCCCGAGAACCCTGTGGCCAGGGGCTGGGTTAGTTCCCTCAGGAGCAGTGTGGTTTTCCCCTCATTTCCGTAGCTCCGATGCCGTCACTCACAGCTTTTGCCGTGGCCGCGGCCACCCGGCAGAGGGCACGGCCACCTCCCGCGGGGGTCCCGGGCCGGGGGATGCCACCCAGTCACTTGGAAATTCATGTTGAGTGGTAATTTTTCATGCTGTTCATGCTGTACTTCTTTGAATTCTACATGCGCTGGTAGGAACCGAAACATGATAAATTAAAAAAAAAATTTCCATTTAAACAATGCATCCTCCTCCCCTGTCCCCATTTCTCATTTTCTCATCTGCGTCATCCGTAATAATGTTTGCTTCTTCAGCGGGTCCCCTGGGAAGGGAAAAACTGCCTGGTGCTGTGCTCTGAGGTCAGAAGCTCTCGTTCCCTGCTGGGGTGATTGTCCCCCCCACAGTCACTGGCCCATCTGCTGCTGCCAAGTGCCGCTTCCCCCGGGAGAGGTGCCCAGGGCCCGGGATGTGCCACCTCGGGTGGCAGCCGTCAGGAGCGTGGGGTGGTCCAGCAGGTGATGGGTTTTGGAAGAAAATTTGCCGTCGCAGTCACACTATTCCTGTGTGCCTTGCCAGTGGACAATTGACTGTGCCACCATCCAGCATGACCTGGACAGGCTGGAGAGCTGGGCAGAGAGGAACCTAATGAGGCTCAACAAGGACAAATGCAGGGTCCTGCACCTGGGGAGGAAGAACCCCAGGCACCAATACAGGTTAGGGGTGGATCTTCTGGAAAGTGCTACTGAGGAGAAGGATCTGGGTGTCCTGGTGGATAGTGAACTCTCCATGAGCCAGCAATGTGCCCTTGTCACGAAGAGGCCAATGGGATCCTGGGCTGCATAGGGAAGAGTGTGGCCAGGAGGTGGAGGGAGGTCATTCTCCCCCTCTGCTCTGCACTGGGGAGGCCACAACTGGAATCCTGCCTCCAGTGCTGGGCTCCCCAGTTCAAGAAGGACAGGGAACTGCTGGAGAGAGTCCAGCAAAGGGCAATGAAGATGATTCAAGGATTGGAGCATCTCCCTTACTAAGAAAGACCGAGAGAGCTGGGACTCTTTAGCCTGGAGGACGCTGAGGGGAGACTTTATCAATGCTTCCAAGGATCTCAAGGGTGGGTTGAAGGAGGATGGAGCCAGACTCTTTTCAGTGGTTCCCAGTGACAGGACGAGGGGCAACGGGCACAAGCTGGACCATGGGAAGTTCCACTCAAATATGGGGAAGAACTTCTTTGGGGTGAGGGTGGCAGAGCCCTGGAAGAGGCTGCCCAGGGAGGGTGTGGAGTCCCCTTCTCTGGAGATCTTCAAGCCCCACCTGGATGCTCCTGAGTGATGTGCTCTGGGCAGCCCTGCTTTGGCAGGGGAGTTGGACTGGATGGTCTCTAGAGGTCCCTTCCAACTCTGACAATTCCCTGATTCCGTGACTGAAATGGAGTCTATGGTTGGCAGTTTCTGTCCCAAATTATCTCTCAACCCTTAAAGTAGAGCAGGTGGGCCTCTGGCTGCCAGGAGAAGTGTTGCTGGGGCATGGCTGCTCCTCCAACTGGAGAAGGTTCCCACTAGCCCGGCAGGTACTGCTTGCTCCTGGCTGGCCTGATGCTCATGTCTTGGCTCAGTACCTGCAGGAAGCTGCTCCTGGTGCTTCAAGAAGTGCCCGACAGCCAGTGGGCTTACCGTGTGTGGTGGGGTAAGCCTAAGCGGAGAACCAGGTGACAGGCTGAGGAAACAGGCCAAGTTCAAGAGGAACCTGGCTGGTGCTGAGGGGCAAAGGCAGGGGTCCCTGACTTGTCTCTGCACAGGGCTTTGGCTGAGGTTCTCTTTCGCTTCTCTGCACTGCCTGGTGGGACTCCAAGGACATCTGTCAGCTCCTGACCCATGGGATCTCGGGCTCTCCAGCTCGCAGTGACTGCTGCTGGTCCCTGGCAATGTCTGGAATACCGATGTCACCCCTGCAATGGAGATGTGGCAGGATGTGTCCATGGCCCAGCGAGATGGCAGTGTGAAGGGGTTAGTCACAAAGTGAGAGACCTCGGGCAGAGGTCCCAACCTTTTAGAGGTCTGTGCCTGCAAGTAGGGCAGTGACGTTAAAAGAAATGTAAGAGGATGGGACTGTATGCTGCAGAAATGTCATCCATCATTAAATAAGTAAAACAAAAATTGATCTATCTCACCAAAGAAAGTGT